GTGACGATTCACCATCGAATCATTGTTGGCCCAAGAACTTCTTCGGGGACATAACGATTTCATAAGATTATTTAAGACGGCAATGGAATAAATATACGCATTCTGACGACCATAAAACCAAACGTGAACGTGAATTGTTGGTGAAAACGTTGGATCAAATGTTTTAGTAAAAATTAATTGTGGGCGGGACGAAGTCCGTCGTGTCTGCTAGTAGTAAATAAAATAGAACAACGAGTTTTCTTAATGATTTCTCAATATTTAACTGGTTTATTTAGCATTTCCAAAATAAATATTTGTAGTTATGTACTTGTTTATTTAAAAAAATGGAAATTAATCATTTTTCATATACAAACTTAAATTAGTCTATTTGCTAAATTTAATATAAGGCTACTTTCTAAGTATGTATGTATGTATGTATGTATGTATGTATAAGTATGTACGTACGTTCCGATTGGTGTGTGCATTTCTTGTAAGCTAAAGTTTGTTTGTATTTGGAAAAAATTTAATACTCAATTAGCTAGTGAAAACACGCTATAAAGCAACAAAGTTATGCATGAAAGCATTTTCGTACGATTTCAAACAAATGCTATAAACTGCATAATATATATTAAAATTTCTATATTTTATTTCGCATTACATTACATTGAGCTGCTGTAGTTTTGTTTTACTTTTTACTCAAACGCAGGATACGTTCCTTAAGGCCGCCTGGCTTCAGTTTTGTGGTTTTAACATTTTTGCGTGATTGTGTCTGAATTTGCTTCGACTTGCGTAACCTAAAAGTTGAAAACGAACAAAAAATTTTTTAATTGCTATTGGATTTTTTCGCCCTTAATTTCTGCACTTACAAGTCGTCATACAACGTGGCAATCTCCTTCTTCCAAATGTCCTTAAAGTCATTGGTGAAGTTCGTCCAATACTCAAAGAACTGATCGGGCGTGCATTGTTCCAAGGCGCGAGATTTGGGCGTGTAGTGATAGAAGCGCATCGTTTCGATGAACATCTCTCGCGACTCATCCAAGTCTTTGTAGAGTTTATCGATTGTCTTTGTTGCGCTCTCAATGAACTCCTCCATTTTCGATTTGAATGGTTCCAAAGTGCCTGGAGTTGAGGCTAGAACCACGCGCTCCGTTGTCTTTTTGTTCGCTGGAATGAAGAGGATAAATAAAACGAATTTACACACATACATATGTACATATTTGTATCATCCTTGAAAGTGTCTCCACTTTTACCTTCCCACTCACCTTTCAATTTCTTATGCAATTCTATTATATGCTGCTTGACCTCATCGAAATCCACTTGCGCTGCGCGCTCCACATCTGACGGTTCGGGTATGGGTAGGGTCATCTCTAGCAACTGCACTCCTTCCTTGCGTCGTCTGCTGATATAGGTTCGTACAATGAAATGCAACAGCGTCGTCTGTGACTCTTTGGACTTTACGTCCTTGAGCTTTCCCAATATCTCCAATGTGAAACCATCCGCTTGCCCTCGCTGTCGATTCCCGCCGTTCATATAATTTCCCAGTGTGAGTATTATGGCAAAGATCAGCTTAAGGTCTTCGCTCTCAATCAAATACTGCGAAAGCTGTGCAACAACTTCCAATTTTCGCGCAATTACCGTTGCTGCCTCTTCGAACTCGGCTTGGAAGACAATGCATGAGATACGCTCTGTAGACATTGAGATCTGTGAGATTTTGAGCAGGAATTGCTCCGGATAATCGAGTGGTATGTCGCTTTGCGCTGCCTCTTTGATCAGTTCCAACTCCTCGTTTGTTGCCTTAATGTTTATGATCTGCTGTAATGTCTCTAAGCTTACAACCGATGTGTCCACATGGTAGATCGCGTGTTCGATCTCACAGAAGTCGACGTGTAGACTACGCGACACAATGCCGACATTCTGAGAACGCTTACTATCCAACACTTTTATAGCCTTCACACGTACCACCTTCTTCTCTTTTGGCTTGCTAACGGGTACCACAGCCTGCCGTGAGAAGAGTTCGGTAAATTCGTCGATGTTATCGAGATTTGTTTCTTCGATCTCCTGCCAGATTTCCTTGGGCGCTGCTGAGTCGGTAACATCGTCGGGCGAGCTACCGCTAGAGTCAGTACTGGCTTGCGGAGTTGTAATCCTAGGGGGTGGTGCTGGCGTAACTATGCGTGTCCAGTAGAGGGGTTTCATGGGCTTAGGCGGGTTGACGGCAGTCTTTCTAAGAGCTGGTATGAAAAAAAAAAAAATTATTGATGAAGATATTTATTGATTCGCGTATCTTTTACTTACTATTTGTGGTGTGGAACCACGCCCCTTCAGTTGGATTTGGCAGTGGCGCTGGTGTAGAGGAAGAGGATGGAGGCTTTGGCGCGCCGGGCGGGGGAGGTGGCGGCACAGCTGAAGTGTTGAGCGGAGGCAGCGGCGCAGGTGGTGGTGGAGGTGGCGGGCCAGCTGTTGAGGACGCCGGCGCTGGGGGAGGTGGTGGTGGTGGAGGTGCAGGTGCATTCATGCCAGGAGGTGGTGGTGGAGCGGGTGGCGCTGGAGGCGGTGGTGGCGGAGGAGGCGGAGGTTGTGCTGCTTTGGAAGCATCCATTGGTGGTGGTGGAGGTGGCGGCGGCGGTGGTTGTGGCGCTTTCACTTTCACCTCCTCAGCATCCGTTTGTATGCCTCGATCACTGGTTTCTTTCGCTTTTGGCGCGCACACAGGACATGTGACGGTGCCGGTATCCATTAATGTTTCTGTCTGCATGCCGGCATCACTCGTCGATGCTCGTTGATTCGTTTTTTCCGAACTCACCATCGACGAGGTTGCATTACCCTTTTCATACTCGTAAATGGTTGCTTCACTTGCATTTAATAAATCGGTTAGTTCTATGCAGCGCTTAGATGGCCGTCGCGTCAGTTCGCTGGGAGCGAGCAGCTCATTTACCACAGCATGCACTTCGGTGAGGTTGCTGCAGGCAAGTAAGCGCTTGCGGAGATTCTGTTGAAGAAAGAGATCAGCTGTGGTGTCAACTTGCACGCCCTTCGGTATGCGCGCCACTGTGCTGGGTGTGCTGCAATGCGGCCACACGGCTACAGTGTCCAGCCTGCCAGGCGTGAGCGGGACAGATGTGGTTGGCGCTTCCGTATGAGTCCACTGGTACATGTAGAAAGGCTGTGGGAGAAAAATAATGAGGTTGGAAAAAAGTTTTGGATAGCTAGAAAAAAGAAATGATCTCCTTGAGAGGAGAATTTCAGAAGATCCCATGTTCCAATCAGTGAAAAGTCTGCCATAAAATCTAGTCCAAGGAGACATAAGCTTTATAAGGAATGCACTATTTTTGGAGAAACTATATTTTGAGAATTAAAGCCGCATTCCAACCCGCTACGTTAATGACTTGGGAACCGATGAGGTGAGGCCTGGTTGTTAATTAGCTTGCTAGTAAAAATCTTAGCACAAACCCGCAAAAGAAAGTAAAAACCTAAAGTCGAGAGACCTTACTTGATTACGTACACCCAACTGCGAAATCAGGCCGAGTTTCCGCCTCGGTGAAAGTCAAGCCATCTGTGATTCTGTAGGATGTACGACTCGAATTCGTATTTCAATCATTGGATTGACGGAAAAATGGGTAACAGGAAGAATTTTTCATAAACCGCTAAAGCCTTGTCATAAGAGGGGTATACTCGGAATCTCGCAAAGCCCTTACCCGGTGCACGGATTGCACGGTAAAAACCGGGTTGGGACAGCTTTGCAAGGGCTTTGCAAGACTCGAGAGAATACCCCTAATATTTTTCAGCTGCTAGAAAGTAACAACACTAGCGTAGTGATTTTGAGATATTTCGACAGCGGGACTCAGTCAAAACTTTTTGAATGACCGCTTAGTAAAGCTGGTAGTAGTAACTAACTTAATAATCTCCTGGGCTCGAACTCCAATGGCTACTGATATTGGAAGCTTTTTTTTTTTGACTGCATACCACTTTTCCACATTAAAGAACAGAACTGCCTTTTGAATGAGAATCAATCTTAATTCAAAGAACTTTCGGGCTTGTTATGGGCATAGCAGTTCATTGCAGTGCGAACTTCACTTTCTATTTTATTTTCCGAAGTCTCCTCAAGCCATTTGTGCGCCTTAAATCCTGAATATAAGTATGTATAAATTAATATTTCAGTAAGAAACATGCCGCTGGTTTCACCAGCAATTTAAATGGAAAATGATTTTTTACTTTCTGTCAATTTCCATTAAAAATTCAAAAAATAAAATAATTTTTTACTTAAATTGGCTGTTGGCCTTCAAAAAAAAAAAAGGAAAATAAGCGTAGCGTATTAATAAAATGCTATAGATATAGAGAAATCTTTACGCAAAATATTTGTTTTAATTAAAAAAAAAATTGGCGGGACCACTCTGCCTTTTTACGAAATTTAATTTGTTAACCTGTAGGTACAAAAAACCGATTTAATTTTTGAAATAACCGAAGGTCGAAAGACCACACCGATTTTATCAAAATTTGTGACAGGTACTAAAACCCACGATTTCAAAATTTGTAACCGGTACAAAAAAACGATTTAATTTTTAAAACTACTGTGAAGTATTTTTTGTAGCAGTAAAGTTTCAACAAAATACGACCACTAGTATTTTTTATACATTTGTCCGTTTAAGCGTCAGTGCTAGCAGCAGCGATGCGGTAATTTTCTGTAATAATTTCTGTCAAATTGAAGGGACATTTTTTTACTTTGATTAAAATATTGGTCTGAACACCATTTTTTATCCTGCGCATATTTTTTTTTCTTAATTTAAGTCATATATTGTTTGTCCTAATATGTTTAATTACACTCTACTTGATTACAAGTACTAAGCTGACAACAAAATTTCCTGGTAAAAATATACCTTTAACCTTTGTTTATAGAGCATCGAACTTTTTAAAAGCCCAAGCGAAAATATGAATTCCCCATATTTACCCGAATGTTACGCAGGGTAGCAGTCTGTATTTCCGTTTCCTTTTTATGAAATGAGAAGTTTGATATCTACTTTCAGAAAATGTGTATATGGGTCATTCCATACAATATTTACACCTCAATATTTTTTTTGGGGTGAAATATTTTTTTTTTTTACATTCTTTATCGAAAAATAGAAGACACCAATTTTTTTTTCTTTCGTCATGATATTCCAAAATCTCGAAAAAATTCGCGAAATTTTGAACTCACAGAGAAGTGTCTTGTTTACAGTTAATAAACTATTTGTCCGAGAAAATCAGTTAAGGTATCAAAATGTGCGTAATAACCTCGGCTTTCCATGAGAGTGTGAGATAAATTAAAATAAAAAAATTTTGCACTAAAAAATTGCATTTTTTATTTTTTATTTTTTTATTAACTTCATCATCTTTGATTTTTATTTTTTTCAACCTGAAAAGTTGTCGGACTTTATGGAGTACGCTGTAAAAATTTGAGATTGAGACCAAATCTGTAGAAGAAACCTCGTGAGCGAGAGTGATTAGCTTCCGAAATCCCTTAGAGTTGTGACTTTCTATAATAAATTTGGCATGCCATAGCACGTTCGAATTTTCTAAGTAATGTTCTTCTAAGTCATCCAATTTCTTTTCACATTTCTACGATATGTGTGATTTTATTTCACATGAAGATATGACGTTTAAGGCAGTCTTCAGATTTAAGTCCGTACACAAACTGATGGCATATACATACCTAAGTTTAGGAAATGCGAGATTATTTTAACATACGGAATGCGATTATGGCCTTAGGATTATAGACTCCTGTTCCAATATTTTCGTCGGATTTTTTATTTTGGATTTGGAGAAAGATCATCTAACTGAGTTTAAAGTGATCCTTTCAGACAATCCCAACTCTTCCTATGTCCATCTTATATTGACCTGGCTTATTTATTTTCCTCTCTAATCTAAGCTCGTAATCTAAAACTATGTTCACATATCAATATTATCTCGAGCAAAGCTCGTTTTTTAATCGCCCCGTTTACACAGGCAAATCTCAGATTATTAGCCGTCAAATTTGTTGTGCTTGTTATTCTCACATTTCAAGGAAAAGTTATGTTTCTTCTCTGTGCCACCGTGATCACGTTTTTCTGCTATAATAAGCAATATAAATATATTTTAACTTAACATTTTATTAAAAATACCTTTACAAACCTCTTTTACTTGCTAGCGTACATTTTTGTTTACTTTTACATTTGGCATTTCTTCTCTCTTTCGCAAAAACAGTCGATAAAACTAGGATGGACACCGAAAAGTTATCGGTTAAATCTGAGATTATTTTATAATTACAGATTACCAAGGGACGAATTTTATATGGCTGATCTCTTGTTATAATTACAGATTTTGGTGTTAAGCTCGAAAATGAGGATAATCTGCTTATATGTGAACCTAGTATAAGCCGTACTGTCCATAAACGGTTTCCGCTCTCTGTAAAACATTCTACCTGCACCGTGTGGCCTCATCAGCCCTTCAATCCGATTCTTTTAAAAGTATTTAGAAATGCACGAGAATATAAGTAGCTGTTTTCGATAAAATTCCTCACTTTTACTTTAAAATTATTTAAATTTAAATTCAGCACCAGAAAAAGCTGCATTCTGTATGTATATTCATAAATCAAATGTGACACGATTGCAGCAATACTAACTCGAATTAAATTTTCAGAGTTAAATAAAAATTCAATTTTCCGACTAAATAAAAAGCTAAGAAAGAAATTTACTTACGTATTATTTAAGTTTTTTGTTTTTTTTTTGCTTCACTCTAGTTATACAGCATTTGGGATTTGTCTAAAAAAAGAATAAACGGGCAGGGGTTGCAGCGAAATCTGCAATTCAAAAGTGTCGAGTGCAAAAATGCAAAAAGCGAGGGGAATAAAACCCAAAAAAAAAAGAAAACGAAAAGAATTAGCAACTTCATAGAATTGCACAAAGAGTGCAGCAAAGGCAACGAAACGAAATGAGAGGATATGAAAGTTGCTGATCTGGGGGAAAACATGAAAGTATCGGAGACGGAGACAGAGAAATTTCCAAGCCAAATTGTTAATGCCAGCGGGATTGAATATGCAAAGGCAAAGGATATTGCGCGCGAGCACATAAGCCAACACGTATGTATGTATGTACGTGTGTAAGTGGCGTTGCATGCCTGTAGTGGTGAGCCAACTAAACACATACATACATGCGCACACACATCTGTATGCACAAGTTTGCAAGTCTATGAAGTCATGAAATCTTTTTCAAAGTTAAACGTCAAATAGCGTTGATTGGCATAGCGAAATGTTGAAGAGGATGCTTAGCGGGCGAAAGAACGATGAAGCAGGCGCGGGAGGAGGAGGAGGAGGCGGAGGATGCAGACGACGAAGCAAATTGCTGTGGATTAAAAAAAGCTAATAGCTGTAGAGGTAAAGAGGTATGCAGATGCCATGTGAAGCTCATCGCCCAATTACAGATTTGCTAATAGAAATCACAATTTTCTCTCACACAAACACAGGCACTCACATGCTACATATGTATATCAATCTGCACACATATATATGTTAATATGCATGCTCAAATTTGTTTGTTTACCGTTTTTTTTGTGGCGCGATTCAGAGGTATGTATGTATTGCCCGCGCTTCACCGCGCCACCACTTTTAATTGAACTTTTCTACAGACCGCCATGAGTGCTTACTTTTTTTTCATACATTGTACACACTTACAAATGCAAATTTCATATGTATGTACATATGTATGCACTAGGTGTGCATGTGCACTCTTGTTTGCAAAGTGCAAATTATCAACAGTGTGTAAACACTCTTCACAAATGGTGTGAAATGCGATTAAAGCTTCGTGTGATTTTTTTTTTTTGCGCAATGATTCATTCTTTCATTGATTTTTTTTTCCGCATTGCCCTTTAAACTTGATTTGCATTTTTATGCGCGCCGTCCTTCAAATCTTCGATGGCGTTTGTTTGTGTGTATGTACATATATGTGTGTGTGGCAAGTGTTTAGTGGCTTTGAGTGGCTGCAGGCGAAGTGTAAACTGGGATTATTGACGGTTGGTTGGTGGCTTATATGTATTTACGCGATTAGACGTCTGTATTTCTATACTAAAGATGTGCGAGATGTAAATATGTACATATGTTCATGTTTACATATGTATATTAGGGTGAATCACTAAAAAAAAAGTAGCGCATTTTCTACCAGAACTAAAGAGTTTAAAATGTTTTAAACATCGCAACAAAAATATAGAAAAAAGTGGTTTTCCACAAATCGGAGGAGAAGCTCGGCCAAACACTAACATATGTATGTGTAGGCGCCAATCTATTATTATTAAAATGTTTTAAGACTTCCAACATAATATTTCGCCAGATTTACGTAAGCTGACCGATTTAAAAATACCTCCAAATATCTCATTATTTTGATTCCGTTGCTAAAATTTTTAAATATTTAATTCTACCATTAAAGGTGATTTTATAGAGAAAATATAAAAAAAATTAATTTTACTAATGCAAAATTCGATTTTTGGGAAAATTTTAATAATATGTTTCAGAAATATTTTTGCGCCAAAGTCTCAAAATATAATACAATTCATATTTCGATGGAAAAAAGTACCGATTTTTTTTGTTGTATGAAGAGTGGTGCACCCTAATGTATGTACTAATATGCTTCGCAAGTATAAAATCATACTCAAATGCGGTTGAGAGTGCTGATACTTGAATCTTTGAAAAGCGCTTAAGGCAAGAGTTAATTACAGTGTTTCTGCGATGAAGAACTTTTTTAAGATTTACATTTACATAGATTTTACATAGTTGAGTTTTTGCTAATGAAAAAATGTAATGAGAAAAAAATTAAAATATTATTACAACTTTCAGACGTTGCAACAGAATATAGTCGGATTTTTTCCCTAATTCTGAGAGCTTGTAAAGAACACGACTAAGCCCGTATTGTCTCGACCTCCAATAGCCTGACTCTCCCAGTCTGATCGCAGAGCTCACTGCCATTTCGAATATATGAAATCCTAGGGGCAGTTCATGCCGTATCACATTAAGACCATCCGTAGGGCACGACGTAGTTGCTCTTCCAACATCTGCACGAGCTTCTCGCTGAACGCTGCTTAATTTCCTAAAGTTGTATTGCTTGCTCAGCGCTGGCCGCCAGCATACTAATACTCCGTAAGTTAGTATTGGTTTTATAAATGGCTATATCTACAAGACAAGTTCTGGCTTTAGTCACCAATTTCTAGGCTTTTTCTCGTTGTATTGTTGTTGTTGGGGCCGAGTATGGACAAGTAGCTGTTGAGGCGGCTACAGTATCCAGACCGTAATTGAGCCAGTGTAACGCGGGTCTTTCTTGGCAATTGAAGCTCCGTATTTTCTACGGGTAGTGATTGGGCTCCAATTACGGCATGCATAGGCCGAGAGTCAAGGTAGGTGGTTACTGACTCTCTATGGATGTCGTTGATAGCTCATCTGTATGTCGTCGGGTCCAGTGGCTGGTCTATGTATTGCTGGACTGCGTCCTTGTACACGAATAGGTGCCCCCTGACGGGTCTGGGCGGAGGCTCCTCCTGTAGCAGAGGTCTGTTTGGGTGTTCGCTTCCGTGGCACCCCACCAAAAATTGCTTACAAAGCATTTTGTTGTGTTCCCTTACGGGGAGCACTTGTGCCTCGCTGTGTAGATGGTGCTCAGGCGTCATCAGAAGGCATCCAGTCGCTGTATGGCGTGCGGCGTTCTGACATGTCTGTAGCTTCGTTCACTGCGTTCAACTAGTCCCCGGCGTCCAAACTGGTTCAGCATAGTTTAGAATCGGCCGGCAAATTCCCTTGTATGTTGCCAGCAACATAAATAATATAGATTCGTGTTCGGTACACGAATGGGGCTGGAAAAATCATTTCACCTACCCGAACATGCAGCGTCCTTCAGGCTGAGGTCGCTGCCTTACAGGAGGCGGTTGAACATTTACGTGCAGCACAATCAGTAAGTAACAATATATTAATCTACTCAGACAGTCAGGCAATTCAAGAACCGTAGCGGGCTGCCGAAGATCTGTGAACGAGATGGCTGCGCAGTACGCTCTTCACCTGGTATTTGTGCCGGGGCACCAAAATATACCAGGCATCGAAAAGGCTGACGAACTTGCAAGAGAGGGCATATCCGTTCCACTTTCGAAATCCCGGAAAGGTTTAGGCATGCTGCTCGCTGCCTGCAGGCTCATTATAAGGGATTTGTCTCTTAAACAAGCAAGGAACGGGTGGTCTAGTCTCACAAATTGCAACAACGCAAAGCTTATGTGGCCAAAATGGAACAAGAAGCTTTCGAAAGTTATACTGATGCTGAGCAGAGGTGACTTAGCTACAGCCATGGGCCTATTAACAGGTCAGGAAGATACACGCGATCATCCTCCACAAAGACTTCTGCAGAAGCTGCAGAGATGAAGCAGAGCCGGAAATCTTACGGTACCTGCTATGCGAATGTCCCGCCTTTTGCAAAATAAGACGGAAGTACTTGAGCTCAGAATTCTTTGAAGGTTTAACCAACATAGCCGAAGTAGGAATAAGGGCACTCTTGAGCTTTGCAGACTCCATACGACGGTTTGAGGAGGAGGGTTTTAACGTCTCGCATGGTATCACAACGGGTCCAAAATTTTAAGGGTCTAGGTCACTGGCAGTCACTTTAACTCAACCCAACCTAACCTTGTGGAAGCCCATTCGGTCAGAACGATATGAGAATGGCGGCTTGTTTTGTAGCTGAATATACTTCAACAAAAAAGCTTTAACACCTGCGGTGTAACAGACCAATATACAAGTAGACATTTGAACGTTGGTTCTCAGCGTGCATATTTTTTTATGGATTTTTTAATTATCCAACTAATCTAATTACCTAAGCCAAATTGAATATTCTTTCCTACACAGTCCTTGAAACTCTTAATTCCTCTAACATAAGCTACTTTTCCATGTACATATGTACATACAAAGTTAGGTGTCAGCTGTGGTAAAAAAGTTTTCTCTACGCTTCTTGTTTTCCTGCTACGTGACGCTTAACGGCAATAAAGCAAAAAATCTGCTATAAAAGTGTTGGAACACGTATTCGTAATTATTTCAACAGACTAAATTGGCATGAAGTCACCTGTCATTGGATTTATTAACTTTGCTTGCTTGTCCAATCGATTAACTTAGTGAAGAATGCGCCAAAGAGACAGGAGCCGTGGTAGAGTAACTTTACTTTGTGTGGCTGTAGTGGATTAAGGAAGTTTTATGTGGGCATTTTTGTATAAGAAATTTTGCGATTTGTAACTAAATATGAGTCCTTATAATTGCCGATTGAGGTGATTGTGCGAACTATTAAAGATATTTATGCACTAATATCCACCTCAGCAAGAGTTGGGCGTCAAAATTTAAATGCAGGCAGGTTTTCTTAAACCAAAAGTGATGAATAAATAATTGCGCATTCATCGAGCTGTGGATCGCTATTTACTGTCCATTTTATAATTTACACACAGTCTGGCAAAACACTCTACGAATTGCGTACATTTGATGAAATCAACTCGGAATGACTTGTGGAGAAAATACACAAAAAATGGACATTTTGAGTTTCTACACAGAATAGAAATTGCAAATTTTTGCGGAGAGTCAATACAGACTGGTGGAAAAGGACGAACAGGAGCAGCTCAGCAAACTCTCAACAAATATTTGGGCGACGTAGCAGAACAAACTTAAGAGCCACATTGAAGTTACAAAGCATTGAATGCGGTTACGCAACGTTGCACTCAAAGAATTTGCATAAAAAAAAAAACAAACAAACAAAAAGAGAAGAGAAATGAAAAGAAATAAATAGAAATAAAAAGAAAAAACCGAAACACAGAAAAAATTGACACTTGAAACTGGGCACAGTTGCTAATGACACTTAATAGCAACAACAACAATAGCAACTGCAACAGCAGCAGCGAAAGCAACCGTGTCCACCACGTCAAGCCTTTCATATCCGTTGTCGACATTTCCGTTTCCCTAGCCATTCGTCAACCAAAACAAAAAAAAAAAAAAAAAAAACCTATACATTTCTCAGCGCGCTTGCTAGCTGTCACAACTCTTCTTCTACGCCATATTGTAGCAAGTATTGCGCTACGAATGGTTTGACGACCGGATTTGAAGACATAGTCGAAGCTGTGGGAAGTGCAAAACACTCGAAGGCAAGCAAGTTGGTTGAAGGCGGCGCGGCGCGCCTTAGCAACTCCAAAGTACTCAAAAAAGTTTAGTTGCATTTCTGCTTGAGCAAAGCGTTCGTTTTTTTTTTTTTTGGTCCACTCACTCTGAAGGAGTTCGTAAGTTTTTTAATGTTTAAAAAGACATTTTTTCTCAAGTTTCCTGAGTGCGCAGGGGGCAAAAGTCACTGAACGTTGGAATATCAATTTTTAATTTGTGGTAGGAAGTAATGGTTGATGTCTCTTTTTTTTTTGCTATACTCCTTTTCAGCATCTTAGTGTTTTATGTAGCAGACTTTACCTCGACTGGACTGCAATTAATGTTCGCTAAAGTTTGCTGGAGTTGAACTTTAAAACAAAGTCTGAAAACGTTACCCCCACACCACTCATTCGCACGCGCAGTCACTGCATTTACGTAAATACTTACACTGAAGTTTTTAATATCCGTTTCCTCCGAAATCTGCTTAAGCACACCCACATTTATTAAATTATTACAATACTGCATTGTGAGGTTATTCAAGTCCTGTTCGGTCAGATTGTTGCCTGTTGACTGTTGCAATGATGAAATCAGCCATTTCATAAGCATTTGACCTGTGAAAAGAGAGGTGGGAGATGTTATTACTTACTGATTTGTTTTGGAAAGAAAGTAAAGGAAGGGTTGACAGCAGCTGGCAGCGTTGCTTCACTCACTTATCTTAAAGGAGCTATAGATTATGTGCAACATTTGCAAAACCGCCACCAGATTGTGTAACGGAAAATATATAATTTCTAAATATACGCTTTCGTTCATCGAGTCATAAAGCAGTAGATATTTGTATTTATTTCGGTATTAAGAAGATTTCAAAACAAAACTGAAAAAATTCTTAAATTTTTTTAAGACAAGAAACTGCCGTTTGAAAGCCTAGCACACAGAGTTGCTTGTACAAAACGAATAGCACTGTCAGACTTTCTAGTAGAAAGTAGTAGTAGCAGAAAGATTCGATAGACACTGTAGAGACGGTGTTGTTTAGAGTTTCTGTACCCTTTTTTATGACGAAAAAGTTTCGGCTGAAAGGTAGTTGTTTTTGGTGAGGTTACCCCAAATATAAACGCGATTTCTTTAAAATTTTTTTATTATCTTTTTTTCTTTTGTTTTTGATGTTAGTCCGACACTGGGCTCGATCCCAGGCGCTGCGGAATGACAGTGCCCACTTCAAACCACTACACGACAGCGGCCGGCTGCGTCATTAGTAAACTATCAAGCCACATAGACCTACTGAGTATAGATTTGAGCACCAAATTTTCTCCAAATTAAAGAATTGATCACTGACTAAAACTTTGCCAAATAGGATCGTAGATATCTTTCAAGGTAGACCAATGATAGTGAAAGTAGAAATCAAGAAAGAGGCTCTACTGTTTACAGCAAGGACAAGAAGCTTATACATCCTTCCATCCTGAGGGTTATAGGACAAGAATATGCTTTGCTTTGTGGACCTGCACCTTCGGAGATTTAACTTTACATAAAACTTCAAGGTCTTTTTCCCCGACAGGAATAACTGAGACAACGAACGACCTGAACCCCGGAAGGACAGCGCTCCTCGCTCTCAAAGCTCACGAGGTCACCTCAAAGCTGGTGTGGGACTATCTTCAACTTTTAATACTGATCGCCTCCAGGAACCGGGTATATCTCATATGGGTACCGGGACACAGTGGAGTCATGGGCAATGAAGTCGCAGAATTTCTCGCCAGAAAAGTGGATGCACAGGGATTCATATGAGCAGCACCTTTTACCAGTCTGCCAGGGAGCTCCGTTAGGCGAAACTACTATATTTGGATGAAGAACAAGGCGCAGCAGGTGAAGCCCTCAGCAGGGCCAACCTTGGCCTTCTTGGAACACCGTACCTAGAAGCGCACGACTTAAATGGCATGTAGCCAAAGGACCTCGCGTGGTTTCTCAGAAGTACGTGGATCAAAGGTGACTTGTAGATGAATAGAGGTTCGTTACAAGAGATCGTTTTGGTTTTCGAACGTTTGAAACGTGCACATAATCAGACTAAAATTTAAAGAACTATAAAACTGCGTATTCGAAAAAATTCTAAAACTTCTGAGAAAAAAAGTTTGAAACTTAGCTGAAAATTTGTTGACTTTTTTTTTTGGAATTTTTTACAAAGTTTAAAACTTCAGTTCAAATATCACTTTGAAATGGGGGTACTATAGATATGGCCAGTACTGTATATCTTTAGAAGTATAAATCCCCCCCCCATAATATATATTCCTGGGTGCGCCCATGTATGGCATATCTTCTCCGACCACTGTACGACGTGTGAAAAATGGATTGTAGTGTAGGTGCGGGGACATTTTCAACTGACCTCCAAATCGTAAAATATATGCTGAGTGTCATAAAAAGCTTTAGTAAAGAATAATACCAAATGTGAAACAAATCAGAGCATAAATATTTCGACCCTGGCGCCACCTAGCGAGGCCATTTTTGAAAAAAATATTTCTGCTTACATAACCAATAGATATCTATTATAAAAACAGCCAAATCGACCTATAAATAAGTTAGATAAAGGACTTTTTTTCGCGGTAGACTTTTCGCTGGAATCGTCCATATGTTAGCGGTAAATTTCAGTAAGTTAGATATGGTTAATTTACCTTAGGAGTACATTTTAAGAAGGTAGTGGTGGACAAGTATCAGAGATATTTGAATGCCTACATATCCTTGTCGCTGATGGGTTACAGTACTGCTACAAGTGATGACTGCTAAAAGTAACTTTCGGCAATAATCTTGGTCAAAGTAAAGTAAGGAAAATAAACAGCAAGTGGGCTTAGAGAGTTAGCGGCTCGTAATTGGCCTCACGTTTATATGCCTACACAGTGAGCCAACAATTTTTCTCTTTTTTGTGTTTTGATTTGGAAAGTTTATATCAAAAGTTGCCATCTGGTGAGCTTTAAGTAATACTATCTAAACTCTTAAGTGCTTAAGTACTCAAACAAGAGCAGGCAAATATTATTTATTTGCACAACACTTGAGATAAAGCGTAAGGTCATACGTAAACATCGGCGATGAATTGTATAAATATAAACACAATCAAATGGCAAACCGATAGGCTGACGTATGCAGACAATTATATCCCGCTGGCAGCGTTTAAAAGTACACATACAAATATAAATAGTTTTGCCGCAGTATGAATCAATAACGCCTAATGACAAATACTACATTTATCAATTGATTATCAGCGCCTTTTTTTTGGTTTTTGTTGTCGTTTTTTTTTTCCATTATTACGTTTTCTTCTTGTATGTACATTAGACTGCATCACACCCCATACAAAAAAAAATCGGTACTATTTTTCCACTGGAATAATAAAATCTATTATATTTTAAGACGTCCACCAAAATATTTCGGAAAAATATTAAGATCTAAATGAGCTGGACCGATTTGAAAATACCTCCAAAAATGGAGTTTTTTATGAATAAAAATAGTTTCTTAAAGATTTTTTTTTGAAAAAATCCCCTCAAATGACAAAACGGTTTAAGCTTAAAATATTTACATAAAAATATTTAAAAAAAAATAAAAAAAAATTTTAACGAAATCGTAATGATGAGATTTTTGATGCTGTATTTTAACTTTTTTCAAAGATTGGTATAAGAAAAACTTGAATAACTGAATCTAAACTCTTCCGATTTAGACTTGAAAAGGTATTTTCTCACCCTTTTTATTTCTTTGCTAATAAACTCATTTAAAAGGATGGAAGAGAAAGATAGGATGAACGAACGTCATTAAATGTTGAACTAAGATGTGTTGGTCATCGAAGAAAAAAAGATGGGACACGAATGACATTTTTTGGTCAGAAATAAAAACAGTGTGAAAATACCTTTCTACTGAGATCCCATAAGTTAAAATCAGAACATTTTTGGCCCAGTTAATCAAGTTTTTCGTAAATCAATCTCTCATACTTACGATTCCGTTGAAAAGATTATTAAATATTTTTATGCAGATTTTTTAAGCTTAATCTAATTTGTCATCTGAGGGGACTTTTTTCAAAAAGTCCTTTAAGAAACTATTTTTATTCATAAAAAACTTCATTTTTGGAGTATTTTCAAATTGGTCCAGCTCGCTTAAATCTTAATATTTTTCCGAAATATTTTGTTGGACGTCTTAGAATATAATAAATTTTGTAATCCCGGCGGAAAAACCGCAACTTTTTTTGGTGATGCAGTCTAATGTACATACAGTAAAACTTCTAATCTGCCTCCGCTGTTTTGTGACGCTGTGTAGCTTTTTGATTGCTATTGATTAATTTATATTTATTAGAAACTTACACTTTGCTTCGAATTTAGGCAATGAATAACCCGCTGGGAGCAGTTGTTGTGCGGCCAAATCATTAAACGCGCCCACTATGTTACAACCGCTTACAGGTTGGCCGTAGTAGATTGGCCTGAATGTGTGCCCAAATATGATTCGTAATGGGTGTTCAATATTCGCTAAATGCGTGCCATTGCTGTGCAGAGTTAGGAAGCTCTCCAGCGCGTGGGTGGAGATGGAAAATTTATATTTTTCACATACATTCATAGTTAGCACTTGTTTGACCTTGAAATTTACGGCAGCTAAGTTCTTTGCAGTCTCACAGCCGTACTCGCCCGGTTGCAGTGCGCAGCTGTGGTGTAGGGTTTGTGTTATTTTAAAGGAAATTTTTCTAATGTCGTGGACTTCCACTAAGGGGGTGCAAGGTTCTGTTTCTTCATACTCCACTCTTTCTTCATCCTCTGCTCTCTCCACTTGCTCTTCCTCTGCCTCTGCTTCATGCTCACTTTCATCCTCTTCACTCAAAATGCTGCTCGACCTTTTCGATTCTGTGTCGATCTTGTATTCCCGGGCGTCAATATTCGCCAATTTGGCTAATAAAGGACACCAACCGGCCGACAGCTGTACTCTGCCCGTATTCGTTCTCGCCGTCCGTATAGGCGGCGTTAGCGATCCCCCCCTCTTCAGTTCTTTCTCCCAATCACAGTTGAAATTTATCACAGTTGTGGGCGGGTCGACGGTTTGCAGTTGCAGCCCCCCGCCATAGTCTATATCTTCATAGCTCAGCATCTCATCTGTATCCAATTCATCATAGAATTGCTGTAAATTCGGTGATTTTTTAATGCTTTGCACTACATTACGTCTCTTTTGTTCCATTTCTTTATTTATAAACGACATTGCTTCTTAACTTTCTTCACTTCTTCACTAATTCACTTTGTGAAAATTTTACATTTCTAGAAATCAACTTTTCAATTTCACCACTTTCGCACAATTTTTGCATTCGAATACGTCAACTAACTTCGTGCAACTGGTCGTTGCTGGTTTTGTTGACACACAAAACAGTTGTTAAGGTTCATAATTAGAGGTACACTCAATGCCAAGGCGCTTTCTAACTTGCACTAACACTTGAAACTGTTGCAAAAGCTTATCAACTCACCGGTTTCTAGCTGATAACCGCTGACAGCTCAGCTGAGCGTCGTAGTACTGCCAGAAAGTCTGCGAGCAACTGATACGGTTTGGTACTCACTAAAGTAGGTAATAATAACGGGTGATTTTTTAAGAGCTTGATAACTTTTTTTTTAAAAAA